CTTCTCCGTAAATTCCGTCCTCAAAAATCCGCGTGCTCTCGATACGCTCTTTTGCCAATCATCGCCTCGCTCAAGAAGAACAGATTTGTACAAAGGCAAACAACAGATACATTAGATGAGGATGGGTACTTAGAATGACTTGCCGATCAGCGACTGTTTAAAGTTGTCGATGATGGCCGGCACGACCTCGGGTTCGGCGAGCGTCGAGACGTCGCCGATCGAGTCTTCTTCGCCGTGGGCGATCTTGCGCAGAATGCGGCGCATGATCTTGCCCGAGCGCGTCTTGGGGAGGCCCGGCACAAACACAATGATGTCGGGCGTCGCAAACGCACCGATGTGCCCGCGCACCTGCTGCGCGAGCTCCTTCGTGACGCTCGCCGACCCGTCGACGCCGTGGATGAGCGTGATGTAGCAGCAGATGCCCTCGCCTTTGACGCGATGCGGGAAGCCGACAACCGCCGCCTCGGTCACCACGTTGTGCGCCACGAGCGCCGACTCGACCTCGGCCGTGCCGATGCGATGGCCCGACGTACTCAGCACGTCGTCGATGCGCCCGGTGATCCAGTAGTAGCCGTCGGCGTCGCGGCGCGCGCCGTCGCCCGTAAAGTAATGCCCGGGGTGCGGCATCGTGTACACGCTGAGGTACCGGTGGTGGTCGCCGTACACGGTGCGCGCGAGGCCCGGCCACGAGTCCTTGATGCAAAGGCGGCCTTCCACGTTGGCGCCGACAAGCTCCTTGCCCGCGTCGTCGAGGATCGCAAAGTCGATGCCAAAGAAGGGCAGGCCGCACGACCCGGCCTTCATGGGCGCCGCGCCCGGGAGTCCGACGCCGATGTGGCCGCCCGTCTCGGTCTGCCAGTACGTGTCGGCGATCATGCACTGCTTGTCGCCAACGACCTCAAAGTACCACTTCCACGCTTCCGGGTTGATGGGCTCGCCGACGGTCCCGAGCACCTTGAGTGACGACCGGTCGTACTTGGTAACAAACTCGGTGCCATGGGCCATGAGCGCGCGGATCGCAGTCGGCGCCGTGTAAAACTTGGTGATCTTGTAGCGTTCGACGAGGTCCCAGTAGCGACCGCAGTCGGGGTACATGGGCGTCGACTCAAACATGACGGTCGTCGCACCGTTGACGAGCGGGCCATAGACAATGTACGAGTGGCCGGTGATCCAGCCGCAGTCGGCGACGCACGCGTAGACGTCATCTTCCTGGAGGTCGAATGTGTACTTGCACGTGGTCGCAGCGTACGTGAGGTACCCGCCGGTCGTGTGTGCGACGCCCTTGGGCTTGCCCGTCGACCCGGACGTGTACAGGATGAACATGAGGTCTTCCGAGTCCATCCACTCGGCCGGGCAGTACGGGCGCATGAGCGGAAGCACCTTGGTCATGTCGACGTCGATCTTGGGGTGGAACGGGACCTTCGGGTTGTTGGTGCGCTTGAAGACAAAGACGTTCTTGACCACGTGCACGCCGTGGATGGCTTCGTCGACCGTCTTCTTGAGCGGCAGCGTGCGGCCGCCGCGCTTGCCTTCGTCGGCTGTGAAGACCCACTACAGATGTTCCATGAGTCATCGTGCAAGAAGAGAGTGGACACGCTTACCTTGCTCTGCGCGTCAATGATTCGGTCGCGGAGGGCTTCCGCGCTGAAACCGGCAAAGACGATGCTGTGGACGGCGCCGATACGCGTGCAGGCAAGCATGACCATGATGCACTCGGGGATCATGGGCATATAGATGGCCACCGTGTCGCCCTTCCGCACGCCGTGGGCCAACATGGCGTTCGCGATCTGGCACGTCTCGGCCAGCAGCTCCTTGTACGTGATGCGGCGGTGGACACCCGGCTCGTCCGACTCCCACAAGATCGCCGTCTTGTCGCCGCGGGTCGCAATGTGGCGATCGATGCAGTTGGTGCTGACGTTGAGCTTGCCGTTGAGGAACCATGCGACGTCGCCCTTCTCGAAGCCACCGTACTTGGCCATGTCGAAATCGTGGAACCACGTGAGCGCCTCGCGGGCCTTCTCGCCCCAAAAGGCCTCCGGGTTCTCAATGCTGCGCTTGTACTCCTTCTCGTACGCGGCCATGCCCTGGACATGAGCGCCCTTGGCCACGCGCGGGATGACGTCGTAGATGGCAGGCGCCGACGCAGCAGCCTTGGCCGACGTGGCTGGCGCCGGTGCAGCAGCCTTGGTCGAGATAGCTGGCGACGGCGCAGCGGTCTTCGTCTTGGGCTGCTCGGTCTGGTGCAGGGTCATGGGGCCAAGAATGCTAAATTCGAAATGGCGAGCGGAGAGGTTTTGGTGCGCCTCGAAGTTCGAAGGTAGAAACTCGCACTTCCTCAAGGATTTTTTGCGCGTGTACTTGAGGTTGTATGCAACGTCGAATAAAAATACGATCAGGTCAAGCCAGCTGGAGTGTCCGTTCGAATATTTCTCGAAAGCGTCTCTTTCCGACCTAATTAGGTCCGAGGGCCTTCATTGACACCGAACGAGGCTAATTGCACGCAACGTTTGCGCAGGGGCTCGGCTCGTTCGGCAAGCGGCGCCAGAGGAATGATGGTGGACGCCCGCAACTTCAAGCGGCGCACTCGATGGTGTATGATGGACGGCGGATTGCGTGCAAGGTCGGACGGTCGTATGCCACGAACCCGAACTGCAACCTGAGAATATACCCACTTGAGCATCCCGAGGCATCTTTTCCCTCTTGGATTGGTCTGTTGCTGTGGACACCAGCAGTGCCGAGAACCGTGGTGTGATCCGACCACTCTACGAGCTCACTTTCTAGCTCGCTTTGATCCTGCAGGAGCTCGTGGCACAAACATTGGCGGCGGTGTTGCCAGCGCTGGGTATGCGGCCGCTATCGATGCGATTAGCTGGCTCGTCCTACGGATCAATGCAGCCTCGGTTGACGACGCTGGTGCGCTGCCGCCGCCTCCTCCAAAGAGCAGGCACGGGGCGTCTGGTCGGCTCGCGCCGATCGAGTGCATTGAAGCTACTCAGTGTTCGTTGCGTGTGGCAAGCCACTCCAGGTGGCGTCGAAATTCGGTTTTTTATTCTGTTGGGTGATGGATCGAGACGGTCTTGGGAAGTGGATTGGACCGGCCCGAGTCCGACGAAGGCGGCAGCGTGGTACCCCTACACTAAACCCACCGTGGTGTATGTGAAAAAAGAGTTTGTGATTCCCACATCCCCATCATTGCATACAATTACCAAGCTCTCCGACCAGATGATGTGCTGGAAAGACGTGTAAAACCACGCCCAACGCACCGAGGATTTGTCCTTGGCGAGTCAGGTGGAAGCAGGACCCACGTCATCGTCGAACGCTTCGCGCCCACAGTGGCGCGATAGCGAACACGAGCGAAGTTGAACGTCGCCGCCGATCTGGTTCACGTTCCAGTGGCAGCAGCTTTAGCCCTTTGCGCTCGCCATACTTATCGGTCTTGTCCTTGGCTTCAAGGATCATCTCGGTGGGAACCGTCGATGTGGGACACGTGTGCGCCACCAGGGTAGCACCTCGATTGGTGTGAGCGGCTGCTGACGACACCACCGGCGTCGCGAAACGTCATGCCTGCGACGGCCATTGAAACTCGCTTCGGCGTGTTGATGCAAGCACCTTGGCAGTTGCCGCGCGATGAGTATGTGCAGTCGCAACGCAGAGTCGAAATTCCTCGGTGCATTTTGGTAGTCGACCTATCACTAGCGCACAAGTACCTAGCTGCCAGTAGCCATACGCAGAGCTCCGAGAGGCCACCAGTGGTCGAACCGTAGCTGTAGCTGCTCGTGTCATTCCCCCAGCAAAGTGCGCCGAGCGAGAGAAAGCCCTTCGTTTTTTTGTGGCCGATGATTATTCATACGTGACTCACGGCAGCGCCGTCGACGCAATCGCCCAGACGCTGCTTCGTTTGGCAAACATGTTTTAAACACATCAGGTTGGAATGCGACTCTTCAACGCACTATGCAACGTCAGCATCACGAGAAGCGTTTTAAACAAGATTTGGTGGGCTGTGATTGGTGGATGTGTGATGCACAGACCGGTCTGATTGGCGGAGCGTCAGGATGTCGACGCCGTCGCGCCGATCACGTCGTTGCGGCGTGGCCATTGAAGAACGCCGCGTCGATCCCCTCACGAGCGCATTCGTCGTCGGTAGTCAATCAGCAGTGACGAATTCCAGAGAGGGGGCCTAGCTCTCAGACAGTGCTCTGGGCAGCTGGTAGCGGTCACCACACATTAGGTTCAACGTCGGACATGGAGCTCGCAAGCTGTTGTTGTGCCCCGAGAATATTTAGCGATACCTGCCTTTGTCGTTGGGCGAGGAAGCTGACGGCTCTAGGAGTCATGGCTTGCCACTGTGAGTGAGGTGTGTACGCACTTGATGTCGCAGGCATGCTGTGTTTTCTATGGTCCTCACTTCGCAGTCGCAGAGTGCTAGCAGGGAACTGTCATAATACAGTCGCTTTGGGTACTGTGCTCCATTCCAATGCCGAAGGAGCCTCGTCGCAAGTCGACCCTACGCACTCGGTACGCCAGTGGTCGGGTAGTTAATGGGTCGAAGAGACATAACAGTGCGAATGCAATCCGACCACGACCGCCGACTCGGTATTTGTTCTTATCGGAACCTCCAGCTAGCGCAGACGCTGAGCTGCAGGCGACATCGCGCGACAAGCTAATTTACTAATCCATTTTGTCGGTGCTTTGCAGTTTGCAGTGTTGCTGTTGGAAAGAGGAGTTGGCTGCATGGCACATTTGTAAGCCGAGAGGTTAGTTTATACGCTGACGAGGCAAAACTACACAGTAACGTTAGTTGAGTCTCCAGCTCAACTGCGTCAGGAGTCTTATTGTGGGGGCGTACGCGGTGTAAAATACGTGTATCTAGTACACCAGGGATCCCCACGTTGTGCCCGCACCGAGCAAAAAAAACATGCAGACGCACAACTTGAACTACAAACTTGTAATGCCTTGGACCGTGGCGACTGAAATTTGGTCACCATCCTTCGAGAGTCCTGTGAAAGCCCGAGAGATCTTTCCAGATGTCCGTGCCTAAGATGCGTACGATTGCCGTCTTCGACGCCGTAGTGGTGGGAGCCGACAAGCTAGAGATGCAACTGCGAGAGATGCGCGGCAAACACACCCCAGATCGCATGAACTTGCGGGCAGCGCACCAAAGATATGGGGCAATTCTCGTCGGGCTCGTCGCAGAGGAGGCAGTAGCAGGCGTTACGCTTGAGCACGTGCAAACTGGTGCAGGAGGCAGTAGCAGGCGTTACGCTTGAGCACGTGCAAACTGGTGCACAGGTACGGCCTCCAGCCAATCAAAAGGTGGTCGACATCAAGCAAGGGTGGCGACTAGTGCTTGACGGCCCAGACACGCACAATTTGTAAAGGGCAGTGTAGTGAATAGTTCCGTTACGTGAATGGGTCGCACGTTTCGACGCGACGGAAGACGATCTTGCGATGTCGATTGGCGCCAAATTTCGCTATGTTGGAATTGCTATTCAAACTCCTGATTCGGTCCAGTTCCTTCACACGTCTTGCGCTACTAGCATTACCATTGATGATTGTGTAAGTGTGTGTGCTCCGCAGCAAGCTTACTATTTTGCACACTTGCCGTTGTGCCTCCGCCGAAAAACGCAGCTACACCAAGTGCTCCCTTCTGATTGGTTGTCTTGCCTGGAATCCAGGCCTGTGATTGGCCATCGATGAGAGGTTGTCAAAAAGTATCAAGATCAAGTGAGTCACAATGCGGCAATGGACAGGACTGAACCAGATCCACACGCGTTGGCCGCGTGGCATGGGGGAGCAAGCCGAATCAACTGAGACGACAAGAACCAGGAAGGTACCAATCGCCCTTGGCTGTACAATGTTATAAGAGCTATTGGAGGTCATATTACGTCGCATATAGCGCTCACGTGTTGTGTACATACACGCGGAATGGGCTCCTTCGCTTCCCGCTACAAACGGCGCATTCGTCGCATGGCGCAGTCGCCTTTCGTGCGTCTGGTCCTCGGCTTTCGTTCAGCGTCCTTAGCGGGTACTAGTACATACCGACACGGCACACCTGCCCGCGAAGAGCCTTGGACGCCATGGCAACGGTGATGGGCAGTTTTCCCTCCCGCCACGTGTATTTAACGTGTGGTGGGAACGCGTCAAAGTGGGGTGCGTAATGGTCGAACGGCCATCACCAGAGGCATGACGCCGCGTTTTGTAATTTTCACAAATTTTGAAGCCAAACGTCCGTACACAACCCCTTTCCTAACACTCCCTTTCCTCTGTCCCTCCTTCCTCTTCGCCAGACACGCCGACGTATTACAGTACGGTACTAGCACCGTCCTCACCAGCGCTGACCCTGTCGCTTCTACGGCGCGCAGCGGGTGGAGATGGCACGTGACCGTCGACGGCCCCCACACAGTGCAATTGCAGTAGCCTGGCCTGTCACGGGATTGGCTACATATCCGGACGTCTCTTTATTAAAGTATGGAGCTTTCCATACAAACACGAAGCTATAGATTGGATATCGTATTATAATGCCAGCATGACTAACGCCTTGGAAATCCGGATAAGCCGCGCGTCGAACCTTTGTAAGTAAACACGATGATGGACGGGCCGAAATGGCATCATTCTTTGACCGGTGGCACTGCCAGCGCATGATGATGTCGTCGTCGTCGGTCGCTCCTCGGCGCCCGTCGTCGCCTCGCCTCCGCGCGCTCTCGTCCTCGTCCAGCATCAGCGACGAGCGCGAGGCTGTGGCCGTGCGCCGCGCCAACAGCGCGGCCAAGATGCCCGTCGTGACGCCGGACCGCTGCAAAGGCTGCCTCCGCCTCTTCTCCAAGATGCTCACGACCAAGCAGTGTTTCCGCGTACGTCTTTTGAATCTGCAACCGCGATGGCGCCACTGACCGCCTTCTTCTGTCTAGTGCAAGAACTACGTGTGCGCGCTCTGTGTCTTCAAGGTGCCCATGTTTCATGGCGAGAAGGGCAAGCTGCCCAAGCACTCGCTCCACGCGCGGCTCTGCGCATCGTGCTACGACGAAAGCATCCTCTGCGACAACAGCACCAACAGCGCGAGCAGCCAGCCCGAGATGAGCCCGCCGTCGGGGCGCGACACCGCCGGTCACTTTGACGACGACGCCTGCGACGACTGCGCCTGCGCCCCCGCGCCCATTGTCGTCGCTGGCCCGAGCAGCACGGCGTCGCTCTGGCTTTCTCTCGTTACGGGCTCGCTCATGCTCGGCGTTGTGCTTCTCGAGTCGACCGATTTTCACGTCCGCGCCGGTAGCCTCGTCGGTTTGTACGTGGTTTTTGTCGTCATCCATCCGCTCTGGAAGTCTCCGTCGACGCCACTGCCGACGCCGAAACCTCGACGAATGTCCAAGGCGAAGCGAGACCCGAGCGAAACCGCGTCTTCGGACGACGAAGATGAGCCTTCGATCAACATGGAGGCGGTTCTCCTTGCCAAGAAGGAATGGCTCGAAGCCCGCTGGAGCGAGCTCACGTCGGAACAAGCTGCTTGGGTCAAGAACGAGTCCAAGTCGACGGCGAGCATTACGCTCTCGGAGCTCGACTGCGGCGACGACGTGCCCGTGTGCATCAAGGTCGAGGCGTTTGTGCCCAACACGAGTGCTGACGAGATCCTCTCGTTTATTGGCAACCCGGACCCAAAAGAACGCATCAAGTGGGATTCCCACATGGCCAGTACGTTTTGTTTCAATGTATCGACTTGCACTGATCCAATGGGTGTAGCGCACACGGTGGTCGAGAGCGTCGAGTGGCCAGTGACCAACCAATCGGGTCGCGTCGTGCACAACGTGCAGAAGAGCCATGGCATGGGCCTCGTGCCGTCGCGGGACTTTGTCTTGCTCGCGCTGCGCAAGTCGCCGACGATCTACGTCCAAGGCAGCCTCGAGCACCCGAGCGTACCGGACCGACCTGGCAGCGTCCGTGGGGTGCTCCATATTCTCGGCTTTGAGTGCGTGCCCACTGACGACGGCGTGCACTTGACGTACATCAATCACGTCGACATTCGGGGGTCGCTTCCGCGCAAGCTCGTCACCAACGGCACGTGTGACAACATGATGAAGCTCATGACGACCGCCGTCCAAGCCAAAAAGAAGTGGCTCGTGTAAACTGAAAATTTGCGTTTTTGATGCCCGATTGAATATATGTAGATAGTATTACTATTTTGCATGTTGGCCACTTGTCATGTACAGAGCCACCACCGATGCGACGAGACCGTCCAGGATTGCACGGCAGCAGAGACGAGTCTCGTCATCGTCCTCGTTCTTGTCGCGACCCGGAGACTCTAGAAACAACTGCAGCAACTGAGCGTCGTCGTCGGCCAACGAGTTCGACGAGCTGCTCTTTTTCAAAAACGTCGAAGCGTCACCGGGTTCGAAATGTGTACCAAACGGCGGCGGTGGGTCGTGCAACCCATCCAGAGGCGATGGCATCGTTCGTGGACTCTTCTCTTCTGCGGGCTCGAAGGGTAGAGTGCTGGGTACAACGGGAGCCTCGAGCTCGAGCTCGGGTGGCAAATGGACGTCCGTGGTGCGGGGTGAGCGACCTTTGTCGCTGCCGAGTTGTGCCAGATTCGACTCGAAAGAGAGCACAGTATCTTCCAACTGAAGTAACATGGGCGGTTCGTGCAGCGTCTCGACCATTTCGGTGGCAAGTGACGAGGTATTCTCCAAAGCAGCGACAACCGCGCCGTGTATCACTGCCTCGTCAGCTTGTGTTGTCGCGTTCACGCCGTTGCATTCTGGTATCATGTCGCGCGTCAGGATGGCATCGACGAGGTCGGCCACACAGGCAACGACCTCTGGCAGCGGCGCCTCCAGCGTATCCAGAATCGTGAGTGCGACCACTGTCTTTGTGCCGTTGGCGTCGGCAATGGCAAGCTCCAGCCGCGTCTTGTGCCCAAGTGTTGTAGCTGGATTGCTTCGCACGGGGCTAAAGATGCGCGGGGTCGGACACCGACCACTGCTGGCCGTCTAGGGAGCATTATGAATTTCTGAACGACCGGATGGAGGCTACCTGTGGCCGTGGACGCTTTGGTGGTGTTGCCAGTGCAGAGGTACTTGCTGTTGACCGGGCCCATGCCGTGGCCGACTGCGGTCGCCGAGCATTCGGTGTTGGCGACGGGTCGACAACAACAATGTCCTTGTGCAGCACAGGGCTCAAGGCCAGAAGGCGCGGCGTTGGGCATCCCGTTAAATCCACAATGTTGGGTTTCGTGGGCGTCTGTTTGATGAAATATCCAACCGAGCGCGAGGTAAGAAGTAATGAGACCTTGGGGACGCGGGGGGTCGGCGCGATCTTTTTCGCCGCTGGTGGCTTGGTTGGGATCGCAGGCTTCTCTGGCACATCGCACCCACCCACGTAGCCGAACGACTGCAATAAGCTCTTCCACGCACTCGGCGTGCGCCATGGGTCTGCGTCCACAGACCCACGCTCGCTCTTGTTCGTCTTGGTGGCGCTCGTCACCTGCACAAAAGTGCGAGATGTTTTACAGGGTACTTGCTATACGTGGACGAGTGTATCCAAGCGCTTCCAAAGGACGTCGGCGCGAGGATGCTGCTTCCCAACGCTAGCGACCGTCACTTCATAAGCTTTTCGACACGCTTGGAGCGCGTCGGCCGTCTGCGTGTCGTTCAAAATCAAGTCAAAGCGCGAGAGCTCGACCTCGTGCTGTTTCTCTTGGTGGACGCTGAAGTCGTACAGTGCGCGACCTAGCAGCTGTGCCCACTCGTCGCGCTGCCGCCGTGCGACCACCGGAGCTTGCGCCGCGGCCAAAAGCACTTCGAATGCGACGCTCGCCTAGGGTCGTCGAGTGAGAATATGGTAGACTTTAGCTGCGTACCGCCGTGCGAGCGTGGAATGCACCTGCGTCCAACAGTTGTAGTTCCGTCGAGACTGCGCCAAGGTGTAGATGCGCTCGTGCAATCTCGATACGCGCCAGTAAAAGCGCGTGGTTTGGAGTTGTATCTATGCCAAATAACTTGAAATTGTAGCGACTATCACGTAAGGTACCTAAAAGTGCGAGCTCCAAGAGGCCATAATGGCAGTCGAGTGCCTTGTAGAGATATGCCAATGCCTCTTTGCGCGCCTCTAGTCACAATAGGTCAGTACTTCTATCGAGGTGGACAATGTACGCTGTGCATGACACGTGGCAGCGAGATCCGTCAAGAGCTCGAGCCGGCTGCGCAGCCACGTATGCCGCTGGCTCAACGTGAGCTCGCTTGCAGCGTCGCCTTGCACCGATAGCCAGTGGTTCACCGCATCATGCAGGGGCAGTGCGCACAGCAGCAACCGGCGCGCTTCCGACGGCTCTAGACGTACATGAATATGCGCGAAGCACCGAGATGGACACCCACGGAGGGCTACGTGGAGACGCGTGAGGTCGGTGAAGTGCTGCGAGGCCTTGAGCGCAGCCTTGGCTGTCGGCCATGTTGGGGGTCGTCTCAGAAATAAGTGTTCTTCGCGCTCGAGCAGCGCAGCGAGTGCCGAGACGCACCGGGCGGCCAGCGGTGCGTCGAGACCCATGGCCGCAAAGGTATTTTCGCAGCCGTTTCAGTATCGGACAAGCGTCCTGTCTACGAGCGTTTTACAAAAAGGGATTTGTCTGAACGGCAATGTGGTTCTTGTGGTCGTGCTCGAGATACTGCCGTCATCTCCTTCGCCTACTCTGGCACCACGCGCCAGATCACCGGCGCCACGGCCAACAACGCGTCCGATGTCACCGGTCCCATTTGACCCGCGAAAGTCCCACTTAACCAACACAAGACGGCAGCCAGCCGACAGCATCGAATGCCCCATCGACAAGCCCAGTATATATATGAACGTGTTCCGCGTTATCTTCATTATGACACAAAGACTTCGCATACGTAGCGCTACGCCTGAATGCGTGGGAGTTGGCTCCAGCACTTGGTCGTTGGGAGTGAGCTGCGCACGGAGAGATCCATCCCGTGGTGGACCCCACTCGCCGAGTCATGGCTCGTTAGTGAACTTTTTGGCTCCACCGTCGATCACCCTCCCCATATACATACATCGTCACCTCCTAGCCGCCGTCGTGTCGCCGGCGTGGGCTCCAAGTAGGAAGATCATCGAGGTTGGAAGTGCTTATAGTCCAGTGTGATTGTTACAGTGGACTATCCACCATCAAGGATTTGGCGTTATACAAGATCACTTTGCGCTTAGAAGGACACATTGTGTCCTGGATTGTCAGATCCTTCTAAGCGCAAAGTGATCTCGTCAATAGAAATATGAGAAAGAGGAAGCATCAGCCGTGCATGGTGTTGTGTACTAGTACAGTGTTACGGACTAAGCTGATTACCGTCGTCCTCGGTGGGCATGATGCTTGCAGCCCACGGCCACGCCTGGTGACGCCTCTTCTTTTCTTGATGGGCTACTGCTCGTGCAGTGTACCGGTATTGATTGGCACCTACACTAACTGTAGGTTGGCTCCTGGGTTGCGTCCACCTCGCTTTACTTGGCGGGACGGTGCAACTCAAGCACGAGTAGTAGTGTGAGTCAGCTTGTGTGAGAGCGACACCTCAAAACGAGCTTGACCTCGATCGTTTCAAAACCCATGGTCGCCGTCAACGTCCGAGACTGGAATCGGAGCCCACGCAAATCAATGGTCCCGCAGACCGCACCGTAGAACAGCAGGTACTTGACTATGTCGTCAGCGTTTGGCTACTGGTGGCGCACGCCATCATGCTTCAGCTTCGTGCATCGTCTTTGTTGCGGCGCTCGCAATATTTCAATGTGGATGGATATACCACGCCAGTCCCGGTCAAGTTGGATTCGGTGTTAAGTTTGACTGTGTAGCTATGATACTTGATATTTGTATGTGACTTTAAACCACTTCTGTCTAAAGTCGAGTTGAAGTCGATAGGGCCACGTCCGTCGTTATCAGTAGCCAATCACAAGGCGTAAAACGTCGCGTAATCTGTTGCACTCAAGAAGAGCACACATGTGATCACGACACTGATATCAGATCGTTCACAGATATGACATGGGTGATCGCGTCTACGTGTCGCCTCTGGTCGACTAGTCAGGGTAATTACTCGGGTATTCTACGTAGTACTTCTATTACGAGCACCTACTGCTACGCTGCGAATTCGTCAATGCGGTCTGGGCCGTCTTTCGGCCTCTCGTCGATGCGCTGGACCTGGACCTCCCCACGACGCTCTTGTTTGAGCCGCTGGTGACGGCCCAACGCTATCGCCGACGCGCGGCCGACCTGGTGTGGCCGATCCTACGAGCCTGCATGCTGCACAGTGTCTGACTCGCCCGAAACGACCGCGCAACGACGCCTGGCTTCGTGATCACCTCGTCCGGGCTTGCGCCATCCATAAGTCTCGCCTTCAACACGGCTAAGCCTCACCGCTGCTGCCGTCTAGCACAACACGCTCCGAGTCGAAAGTCCATCCCAAAACCAGTTCAGTGTAAATTATATCTAAATAGACCCACTTCAAAAACGTAGCACTTCTACTAGTATGGTGCGTGCTTGGACCTGCAAGAGATGGCAACGCCACGTCGGTCCCTTTACCTGTTTCTATGTGCCACTTCGTACTCGGCTCTAAATCCCATGATTTCCTGGCTCGTCAAGCAAAGCGGCGCGTACCTTGTCTGTGACTGGTTGTCGAAGTCGGTGCCAGCTAAACACGCGTGTCCGAATGGCTTGCAACGGTACTTCGTACATTTTCAATATACATTGTGTAGCCTTGGTGGCTTGGCACCGACTGCGCGGTACGTCCAGCCAGCTACTGTGTACCGAGGCTACCAAATACGTGTACTAAGGTTAACAGTACAAAATAGAGATTATTTCTAATTGGGCAGAGTACGCGAGGTGATGATCCCATGACGGCAACCTCTGCTTCAGCGAGTGCTCGGCCCGAGGTGAGCATGCTACCACTCTAGCCCGTACCGGTGCTTTGGCGGCTTTGATGTTCTTGCGTTCAATAATGTGCCTAGTCGACAACAATTATCACAGCGAGCTCTCGGTTGCGGTAGCTTACACATGAATGTCAACAAGCTTCGTGCTGCATTGTTGCGGGCTTCGTACAATTGGCAGCTAGTACCTATTACCTGGCGTTTTTCAGTGACATCAGTAATAGTTATAGGTATACTAGGTGTGAAACATGTTATGTGGCACTACACAAGACGAAATCAAGAGACATTTTGCTTGGCGTGACTTGCTCGACAGCTTTCTCGTCGTTCTTGGTGGCCAACTTGAGGTTCTTGAAGTCTGGTTTGCGGGTTTTTATGGCTTGGTACTCGGCTTGGTGCTGCTCGATCAGCGCCTGGATGAGAGGCATTGAGCTGCCTGGGTTCTCGGCGAGAATTGCCTCGAGACGCTTAATCTTTTGTGTGATCGCGGCCAACTGCCGGTACGGCCATTTGCTGTAGCCCCGCGACCGGCAAAGCCGAATTAGTGCACCTTCGTACGAGTCGAGCTTGGCTGCCGCCTCCTTTTGTGGAAGCTCGAAGAGGTCGCAGAGCGCTTCGTTGCTCAAGTTGGCAATCGATGGGAACGAGCGTGTCATGTTGATGAGTGAAATTGGGAAATGACACAGCTTAATGCGGACAAACACGCGTCCGGACACCACCGATTTGCCAAGAATTGCTTGAACGTTAAATTATTACAGATAAAAATGTACTGAATAAGCGAATGACACTGATGGAAGGGCGGTCGACAGGCCTCACAAGATTCGTGGGGCCAGTCGCCAATCTGGTCGGGCACGAGCCTTCGTGGTTTAGACTGTTGTTCCAAGAGAATATCTCCGATTTTACTGTTGGAACCAGTAGTGCAATGACACAAGCGTTGCACAAAGGGAATGACCAGAGAAGTGCACGGTGGTACAGTGCGATGTTCGTTGGGATCGGGATCGGTCATTTTATGTCGTCACTGCATCCATCGCGTTGCTCAACCGCAGACAAAAGTTGTGTTTAAAAACTGCTCTTTTGTCGATAATTATATATGGAAGTGATTTAATTGACAACCTGTCCGTTTCCTGCGAGGTCATGGACACTGCGCACTTTGATGCCGACAAACTTCGCATGCCTCGATAGCAATGATGCTCGTTTCGCTTCATACCACGATGTATGTACAAGGCTACTCGCCGAGTTGGCCGGGATGAGCACCCACCCACCAAGTTCCGAGGAACGGCAGCAGACGACGAGGGTGGCTCCAGCAGCAGTTCAGTATCCAGGGTGGTTTCAGCATCTTGGCCCTTCTTAGCTTACGACTCTAGCCTCATGGAGATCAGTACAAGGACGCCGTGTTGGCACACGAGACGTTTCTGTCCTCGACGCACGGCTCGTCAACCCCCCTGCTCTTAGGCCAACGAACTTGTCAAGTGCCTCCTTTCTCACCTATCACGTGTTGTCGCTGTTCCCGCTGGAAGATGAGGACGCATTCCCCATCGTCACCGACTTCTCTGCAGTGACGGGCCAAGTTGGCGTCGTCGTCATGGGTAATATCGGTCATGAATACGGTCAACACCTTTTTCGATGTGCAGTCTGGTTGTCGCGTCGGTACTATAAGTCAAGAACTGATGGCGGCATGAATGCAGATACACGCAGGTCCTGGGCGACTTTACTATCGTAATAAGGGTTCATAACCTTGGAAGAAATCGTTTGGACACCTTACAGCTTGAAAGGGCGGCGTGCACATCACTGTCTATGATTACCGTAGACATTCTCCGCCCATGGTCTCCACCAAGTCTCCACCCACCGCAGTCGGACCAGATTCAACCTGCGGCAATGCATGTTGACAGACGAAATCGAATGTTTCGAGTATGGTGCGGCACACATGACGTCGTTGGGCCATTGACAACTGCGAGGGTCTAACTGCCGTCAACGCATGCTGTTCGCCTTGTTTCCTGTCGCTTCGAGTTATACATGCATTCGAGATATACCATTCTCGTGTAAAGTGCACGGCATAAAGGTTGCGGATACCCATCGTTGGTAAAATAGCAGCCGGTACAGTAGTCAATACTGTATCGGATTTTGCCGGAGACTGAGGGAGGGAACTGCGGTACAGTACACAGTAGGATGGGAGGAAGCGGGCGATGGGGCGAAGCTTGCGCATCAGTCGTCACACGAACTCTTAGTTCACGCGAGCAAATCCACTTGCAACTTGGCCCGGGCTGCCCGTGCCGACTGATATGACTCATTTATATATTGCAGTTTGTATGCGTTTACGTTTTTGTTTTTCCTCAATCAAGACCGAGCTACTTGGGGGCAACAACCGTGTTGGTGTCCGCCATGCCAGAGGTGGGCGAGGCGGGTTAGCTTTTGACTGATACTACAAATTCGTGGATGGCTCGAGCCGCTTGCTCTGCGCCTGGATCTTGTAACGTGTGCGTGCTTCCATATCTTGGTCTTCTAGAACGCTCGGCCTTGCGCGGAAAACCTCTTCCACTTCTTGGAAACGGAACTGTCAACTTGTCTCATCGAAGAAATGGCATCGATCGAGAAGACATCGCAATGTACCAAAGCTACGGGCAGCAAGAGAGGTTGTGGTGCACCACGTTGATTTCCACCAGCCCGGCATATTCCCTTCATTTCGTTTTTGGTTTCTATGTCCAGCTCGACGAACAGCCCAAAAATGAATAAGCTTACTATTCAAAGATGTGGGACCTGACTATCCTGTTCAACTACGGCTACTATAGTATCTACTATTGCCTGGCCGGCAACTCTGATCCTTAGCACTGTAGTTTCGGCAAGGCTCGTGCCTCACGTGGCGTGAGGCAATATGTACATACAATACGTACAAGAGGTTAAAGACGCCATGTACTTGCTCATGTTGAATATCTAGATGGATTATGTTGGAATGAAAGAACAATGGTTTGCGAGTTTCAAAACAAATACTTCGTACATGTACTAGTTTTCGAATATGGGCCGTACGATAAAGTCAATCTCAGTCAGCTTCTCCGTCCTATACGTTGCATTGCTTGGCGGATCGTGACAAGCGGACATAAATTCAATTTATGGGAGTCTCCTCTTGATCTTTGTTGTTGGATTGACTCCATAGCATATTGTTTCCGATGGTTTTTTCTACTTTTCTACACGGTGGCGTTGGGCGGTGAGCATGGCGAGGCGTATGCTTGGTGTTTATTATGGTACGCCTTGCTTTGGAGCTACGCTAGTAGCGGCGCGTCCTTGGTCATCTCGAACTGTTTTCGGCACGGTGCTCTTTCCGTTGGGTTACATCGCGCAAAGGCAGGAGGTCGCCGATTGCTTTGCATGAGCGCAGCTAGATTTGAAAGCCTGCTATCCGTTCGAGCACGATTTTTGCGGAACACCAAACCACTACACCAGGGCTGACCCCTTGATCGTGATCACTGGTGTCTTCAACGTGCAGCAGCATCGATTCATATGTGTGAAACATATGCTGAAGACCGCATGGACTGCAGTGACGACCATACGTTTAACAGTAACTTGCGGTTTGCGATGGAAGCCATTGGCTCCGCCTCGATTTAAAAACAACATCCTTGCAAAGCAGTGTCCCCACTGCTCATATACCGGTACCGGTATATTGTACCCTCGTTTGGGACTGACCAATGTCTGTCTTTTATCACGACATTGCTCAGGGATAGGTTGGACACAATTGCACAAAGCTGCACATTGTGACAAAAAATGGACCGCGGAGGACGAGGGCAGCATAGTGGGCTTGGCTAGACAGCGCAGCGCATGACCCGAAGGGGTCGCGAGTTCGAACCCCGATTCGCGGGATTTGCTCTTTTACACCCTAAACACCCGCGTATGTTTGCAATTTATTTGTGCTTCGGCAGTCCCAGGAGCCAGCCATAGCTACGGCGCGGCGCATGAATAAAGCTCTGAGCTATGAACGATGCGCCGCCTTCTAGCGGACCTGTCGGCGACGCATTGGCCGGCACTCCACGAGCGCATAACTTCGGCGCCGTCATACTCGCGCTAACGTTCGGCAAGTAGACAGATGGATAGGTCGTTCTTGGACGCACTCAACAACATAATTAACGACATATAAACTGGCGAGTTATTGTCCGACATAGATGTCGAGGCTTCTGCAGCCAGCAATCGTCCTAGCACACACCTCGTATGCGTGGGTTTTCCTAACGATTCGGCGTGGACTTTATGCTGTACTCGCCCTTGGTATCCAAACTCGACATTACTACGTTAAGCCCGACAAGGGTGGTTCTCGCCTTGGTTGACACGACCCAGAAACCCAGGCCGTAGTGCTAAGCAAGGAACTTTTAGCGGCAGGTATCGTCTTGCCAAGGTCAAGCTGTGGTTTTGACGTATGTGGACGCAAACCCAATGCGATAGT